TAGTTGTAGTTGTAGTACTAGTAGTACTAGCAGTACTAGTAGTACTAGTAGTACTAGTAGTACTAGTAGTCGTCGTCGTCGTCGTCGTAGTAGTAGTAGTAGTAGGAGTAGTAGACGTAGTAGTAGTAGTAGTAGTAGTAGTAGTAGTGGGAGTAGTAGTCGTAGTAGTAATATTATTGCTATTGAATAATAAGAATGATATTATAACAATAGTAGCAATAATAGCAGCAGTAGTAGTAGTTACTAGTGGTAGCAATCGTCGGCGTCGGTTCGTTGCAAGAAGTACCGTAGCATATCCACTCTTTAGTCGGGTGCATCATGACTTGGCGTGGAGGACCTGGTTGACGAGGCCGAGGGTATGAAGATCCTTACCGAGCGCCACGACGGCGGCGTTGCCCGAGTGGCATCTAACTCCTTCGGTTTTGGTGGTACAAACGCCTGCCTCGTTTTCGACAAGTATGAGGGATGAAAGATATGAATATGTGCAGTTTTGGCAGTGCAGCTGCTATCTACGGTGCCATGGGAGCTGCCACCTGGATTTGAAGTGGTCCTCCCTGTCGCTATCCCAGTTTGGTTCAAAGGCTTCCCAGCTGCATATCTCTTGCATGAGGCAAAGTCTCACGCGCGGCACAAGTCCTTCCCCAGCTGCTCGCACTCTCGGGTACGTTTAGATGTCACTTGATCGGTAGACGGAATAGAAAGACTGCGACTGTGGACAACGGCACATTCCAACGAGCAGCTGCTGTTACAATCACATTGAGCATTCCTGGTTTTCCCAGCTCATGGCCTGCGCGGGCCTCCATTGATGGTTTTTTTACAGGATTCTCCCCACCCTGCAGTGAAAGGAGCGAACGGATGCTACTGCCACCCTGGCGAGTTCAAAAGGAAAGGGGGCTGATAGAGACGCCATGCAGCGTCAATTGTCGAATGCTTCTACTGCTACAACCAGTCATTCTGGTGCTGCTCCTCCTCTCATTCGATGGCCTGCCGGACTGCTGCTACGACTATGGCTACTGCTACTGATACTGCTGCTCACCAACATCATACTACACTACTAGTACTAGTACGATGGTCTGATCGTTCACAGAACTAGCAAATGGACGATCAAACCCTTGCGTGCACCAGCTCGAGCAACCATGAAAAAACTAAGAAAATGTGTGGCACACTAACACAAGTCCCCACGCTGTCCTCGTGCTTCACCTCTGTAGTAGTAGTAGTAGTAGTAGTAGTAGTAGCAGCAGCAGCAGCAGCAGCAGTGGTAGCACCAGTAGCAGTAGTAGTAGTAGTAGTAGTAGTTGTTGTTGTTGTAGTTGTAGTTGTTGTAGTTGTAGTTGTTGTAGTTGTAGTTGTAGTTGTAGTTGTAGTTGTAGTTGTTGTAGTTGTAGTAGTAGTAGTAGTAGTAGTAGTAGTGCTTGTTGTTGTTGTTGTATTTGTATTTGTATTTGTATTTGTATTTGTGTTTGTCCTTGTGCTTGTGCTTGTGCTTGTACTTGTGCTTGTGCTTGTGCTTGTGCT